AGTCTGAAAATATTTATTGATCTCAAATACCTTATATAGAATATAAGGTATAAATATATTAATATATATAGAATTTCTAAGTTATATATTTCTAGAATATAAGAATACACAAATGTTATCACTTTTGTTGTTCCTTTACTACAAAAACTTCGTTACCCATAAAGCCTCGCGCTGTGACGCAGACGTCAACGACAAAATCAAGATGGTGCTTGAAAGTACTATGGTCTGGTAAGGAATTAGGCTTTTGTGTTTAAATTTAAAAGGTATTAAAAGCTAATTTAGCATAGTTGAAGCTTTTACATACGAAATAAGATATATATTGTTTAAACATGTTTTGTTTAAAGCAAGAAAACGGTTATTTGCTTTGTTTTTCCACTTCGTTCTTCCGGCGAGTCCTGAGTCACTCCATGACCGTAGCTTGATGCTAGCAGCTAACATTTATTTATTTTTATTTATTTCACGTTTCTTTAACGAAATGCTTGTTTGTTTGCGGCCATCACTTGTTACATTATTTGTAGCCGTGTGTTTAAAAATCCCAAAAGTACAGTTTAGGTTGCGTTTGGCTAAAAATAAAACAAAGTAGCTGCTATGAATTTAGCATTAGCCGGCTAACAAAAATCACAATCTGCCTCCTTCTGTCTCAAAACGTGATGACATGTTTGAATTTTACCTTTGTTCAAACTACCAGATCAGTATGTTATTTATACATCCCAAACCGGTTCTGCATATCGTTTAAAATGTTATTTAAAAGAAACAAATCCACATAATATCCATTGATTGTTGCATCTTGTCACAACAAACGTTTTCTAAGGCTAAAAAAAAAATCATCAGTTTTTTAATGAACTACTCAAAATAACTCAAAATACCATACCATCTTTATTTATAGAGCACTTTAAACAGCCACAGGACCAAAGTGCTGTACACATAATAAAACATGCATACGTTCATAAAATCAATAAAAAATTAAAATAAAACATAAAAACAACACTACAAATTGTGTTCAAAGGCCAGAGAGAAAAGATGAGTTTTAAGAAGAGATTTAAAAACAGACAGGGACGTCTTGTCTTATAAATGAGACCAAAAAAGTTGGTTTGTTTTGAACCAAGAGGTTTGTGAACTCTTCCAACTCTTCTACATCTCTTCAAAGCTCTCGTTACAGCTCCTTTTATTTTAATCTGTATTTTCTGACCTGATCCTCACTGTCTCAGGTTGGGATAGTCAGTCTTGTTGAAGGTTTGCAAATAATCTATAGCACTTTTTATACTTGTATTTACTCCCACAAGTTTAGGGAAAGTACGGTAGTTGGAAAAGAAATAAGAAACAGCCTTTATTGTCCCATGGCGACAGCAGCAGATACAAACATCAGGCCACAGAAACTGTATATTTTTATGTTCATTATCAACTGTAGCAATAATAATACAATTAAAAACAGGGTCATGATCCGACAGGGTGCAAATTGAGTTGAACTCATTCATTAAGTCCAGTACAGGAAGAAAAAAAAAAGAGAGAGAGAGAGAGAGAGAGAGAGAGAGAGAGAGAGAGAGAGTGTGTGTGTGTGATGGGAGCAGTGATGCTTGTAGAGTCTAACAGCTGATGGGAGGAAGGATCTTCAGTAACGCTCCTTTGTGCATTCAGGAGGAGCTCTGCAGATCAGTTCTATGCATGAGACGTTCTCTGTCATTCATGTTATTTATGGGAAAAGATATTTCCACAACCAAATAGCTGTAAATCATGATGTGACAGCAGAACTGAAACGACACAAAATGTTCTACAAACTCCATTTACAGTGTTCACCTTCATCGTTGTAGCTTTTTATTTTTGTTTGGTCTAATCTAAATATGTTTTTAAGTATTTTTCTTGTATTGATGTTCTTGTTGGTTCAGTGTGGACAACAGTGAGTACATGAGAAATGGAGACTTCCTGCCCACTCGGCTGCAGGCTCAGCAGGATGCAGTTAATATTGTTTGTCATTCCAAGACCCGCAGTAACCCAGAAAACAACGTAGGCCTCATCACCATGGCAAAGTAAGAGTCAGTGTGCTTTAACTTGTGCTCTGACATTTAAAACTGTTCATAATAACAGTTGTTTTCTCTGTGCAGCAACTGTGAGGTGCTGACCACGCTGACTCCAGATACAGGGAGGATACTGTCCAAGCTGCACGCCGTGCAGCCTCGAGGCAACATCAGCTTCTGCACCGGCATCAGGGTGGCACATGTGAGTCTGGTTTTTTCTGTGGTGCAGTGACTGTTCCCTGCAGGACAACAGCAGAGGAAAAATACCACTAACTGTGGTGAAGATTTAAGACTCAGAAGGCTCAGACACAGTAAAAATCATAAATACACAAAAACTGATCATTTAAAACAAAGTTTGTGTTGAACTATCTCAGTACAATGGAGCTAGAACACTTAATGTATATAAATACCTGCATTGAAAGGGACAATAATTGTGTTTTATATGAATTTGTGACTCACAAATTAAATTCCTTATTTTGTATTGTCTGTTTTACAAATCTGTTTGCAGCTGGCTCTGAAGCACAGGCAGGGCAAAAACCACAAGATGCGCATTGTTGCATTTGTTGGGAGTCCAGTGGAAGACAACGAAAAGGAAGTGAGTCAAGTCCTGACCTAAATCAATCCTTGTTTTACCTTATCAACAGTGGATTTGTGATCACTCTATAAATCAGTCAGTAAAAACAGCTTCTCACTGGCTGCCGCTGTTTGTGACTAACTGGCAACAAGAAGTCCCGTCTCAGAATATTTGACGTTCTCTGTTGTCTCAACAAACTGCAGCCTTGTTGCTTTCATTTTGGATGCATTCAGAAATAATAAGAGACAGATTTTCTCTCATGATGGTCAGAGTTATGGCAAACATACGACGGTGTTTTAGGGCCACTTTGCACATGAAAAATAAAAGAGAGCAAATCTCAGGAAAAAATCATAATTTCTGAGATTAATTTCAGAATTTTTTGAGAAAAAACAAGGAAATTCTCTGAGCTCCAAAAGTTGTAAATTTGCAAGAAAAAAAAGAATTTCTGAGATAAATTACAGAAACTTTAAGAAAAAAAACAGGAAATTCTCTTACGTTGAAAAGTCACAAATTTACGAGAAAAAACTCAGAAATTTCCATAATTAAAGGCAGAAATTTGCGATATTTAAACTAAACTATTTTCTGACATGGTAAAGTAAGAAATTTACAAGAAAAAAACTTGTAAATTTATGAGGAGAAAAATACGTTCAGTGTGACCGCAGCATTATTCTCTATGTGGACATGCACAGTTTGTTCATAAAATGCATAAATAAGGCTGAAATCACCATAAACTGAAGCTTCACATATCAAATATATGTTTCACAAACTACAACTCTGGTTTTAAATATTCTGCAATCAGTGCAGAATATTTTATTCCAGGTTTGAAGTCTCTTTGTGTTTTAGTTTTGTTTTATTTAGTTTTTTGTTTTTGTTTTGTTTTTATTTTGTTTTTAGTTTTGTTTTATTTTGTCTTATTGTTTTCTTTTGTTTAGTTTTGTGGCTGTATCAATAATTTACAACTACAAGATTGACTGACAGAAACTGAAAACTTCCGACCATATTAACAGCACCAGTGTTGTTTTAAATATAACATTTCTAATTTAAAAGCAGTTTTATAAACTGGAACATGTTTTTTTTCTTCTTGCAGCTCATCAAAATGGCAAAGCGTCTGAAAAAAGAAAAAGTCAACGTGGATGTGATAAACTTTGGCGAGGAGGTAATAATTTCTGAAAGATGCTAACCTCTGAGTGTCCCTCGTGTCAGTCAGCACATGTCTCCTCACTGGTGACGGCCCAGCCTGCTCCAGCCTCTGACTCTGGTTGAACTCTGCAGGAGATGAACACAGAGAAGCTGACAGCCTTCATCAACACACTGAACGGTAAAGAGGGAGCAGGCTCACACCTGGTCACCGTTCCTCCAGGACCCAGTCTGGCTGACGCCCTGCTGTCCTCACCCATCCTGGCAGGAGAAGGAGGGGCCGTGTTGGGCCTGGGAGCCAGTGACTTTGAGTTTGGAGTGGATCCTAGTGCCGACCCCGAGCTGGCACTGGTGAGAAAAAGACCTTTTCTTTGTTTTCATCACGGCTGCATTTGGTTTATTGTCGTCTACATTTTATTCCAGGCTCTTCGTGTGTCCATGGAGGAGCAGAGACAACGACAGGAGGATGAGGCTCGCAGAGCTGCTGTAGCATCAGCAGCTGAAGCTAACATCTCGTCTCCTGCTGCAGACGGTGTGAAAACACTCTGTCTGCTCACCTGTCAGCCTGAAACATGAAGGTTAGAGGGTCACAGCTGTGTTCTTGTCTCTCTCCCTCAGAGTCTGAAGATGCTCTGCTGAAGGTGTCCGTTCCACGAACAGACTCGGCCACTCCTGCTCTGCCAGACTTCAGTCGTATGACGGAGGACGAGCAGATCGCCTACGCTCTGCAGATGTCCATGCAGGGAGCAGGAGCAGGTAAAATCTACCTGTGTGTACCGTCATGCTGCAGGCTCAACATGTTTGTTTATTTTATGGCTCTCTAAACTGATCCAAACTGTTTGTGTTGCTGCTCTAATGGAACCATGTCCCACTGAATATCAGCCCTTCACTTTCAGTTTTATTACTTGGCCTTTAGGGGTGTAAGAAAATATCGATACACTGAAATATTTCATTTCCTGATACTGTATCGATATTCTAAAGCCCTGTATCGATTTTTAATTAAAGTTTAAAATGTCAACTTTCCTGCCAGCCGTTCATTTTTATGTTGTAGTTCAGCCTCTGACCACTAGTTGGCAGCAGTGAGCCAGHCATTTGGCTCCTCTACCTCTTGAGCGCCAGAGAGTAAGGTTAGCATTAGCATTGTAAGTAAACATTAGCTTCATGCTCCGATAGCTGAATCTGAGAGGAAAAGACCGACACCCTCTGCCTTCTAAGCCGAGGTAAGGTTGAGGATAAGGGTAATAACATGATAATAACACGTTAACGAGTCCAGCACTTGTTTTATGTCCTTAGAGTGTCCATACACTGCACTTTGTTCCAGATGTGGATGTTTTGGATAAATGGCTTGAACTTGTAGATCGTTTCATTTTCACACTCAGAAAGCTGATCAGATGAGGTGCTGCTGCTGGTCGACACCACTCTCTGGCACATTTTACAGCAAGTTTATTAAACCTTTAAAACCTGAGGCACGTCCACATCACTGGATTTACTGTTTTCTTTCAGATCATCAGTTTTGTCTGCTGTGTTTTCAGCAGTGGTTTGTTCACCTACAGCTGCTCAGCTCCTCTTGGAGCTGTGTTGGTGTAGCGTTGAGCGCTGCTGTGACATCTCGTTTCTTTAAAAGTAATAACCCTGTTATTAACCCTGTTATTAACCCTGTTATTAACCCTGTTATTAACCCTGTTATTAACCCTGTTATTAACCCTGTTAAGGGTTAATAACGCTGTTATTAACGCTGTTATTAACCCTGTTATTAACGCTGTTATTAACACTGTTATTAACGCTGTTATTAACGCTGTTATTAACGCTGTTATTAAAACAGTTTCTACCCTGACAGATATCACTACTGAATCATTGTCCAGCACTATTAGGAAATATATGAAGGTTAATCTTCTTGTAAAAACTGTTTGCAGCAAATCAGTGAATACACCCAGTCCTTGCTTCATGTTTTTTATTTGTTTTCCACTAAAATCAGTTCTTCCTTCTTCCTCCTGCAGAGTTTGTTGCTGAGGACATGGACACAGGTGGTGATGTGGATCCCAGTGAGGCTAAGGTCAGGACCGTGTGCTGTAATGTTAGTGTGTTTCAGTGTTTTCAGCTTCAGGAGCTTCTTGTTTCTGTGCTCAGGATGAAGAGGACTATGATGTAATGCAGGATCCAGAGTTCCTTCAGAGTGTTTTAGAAAACCTCCCCGGTGTCGACCCGAACAACGAGGCCATTCGTAACGCCATGGGCTCGCTGGCCTCCCAGGCCGGCTCCAAACCAGACCCCAAGAAGGACGAGGAGAAAAAGAAATGAAACGTTAGATTTTCTGTATGATAAATAAGAGATGTGAGAGCTTCACTGTAAGAAAACCTCTCTGCAGAAAACAGGTCGTGTCCATCGTTTCTGTGTAAATCCTTAATGATCAGAAGCTTTTTTTCATCACAAGCACATGTGCTTGAGCTTTTTCTTTTTGTAATATAACTCCTCTGCAACATGAACATATTTCTTCAATAAATTTACAATAAAAAAGAGAAAAAAATGAATACTTCCTTGGTTACTTGATAACATTTGTCAATTCAAACCTAACAGTTATATGATTTTATATAACCGTACGGTTCAGACATCTTTTGGAAGGAAATCAGTCAATGTTGCATTAAAATGAATTTATTTTAGCATAACAGAGTTAAAATATTACATTTAAAAATACTATAAACTTAAAAGCCCACATGTATACAAATAAAACTAGCACATTTTTATACATCTAAATACAAAAATAAAGGAATATTGTATTAAAGGGTACATGCAAAGTAGTTATTCACGTTTATATGTTTACTTAAGTGCATGTTATTATATTTGATATTAATGACTTATTGCTTGGTGCAGTTTTAGTCAAACTACAAAATGTTAAAAAAGGTTTAAGATATTGCAAAATTCTTTTTGTTTTAATTTGTCAAAGAAGGGTATTATGATTAAACTGTAAAAATAAATCCATTTTGGTGGTCTTAAATAGGGTACTTTTTAAAAATGATGTGTTAGGTTTCTAATCAGAAACACTTGTTTAAATTTTAATCGGGTTTTCAAAAATGTTCAAAACAAATGTTAAAAATTACATAGTGACTAATGCAAAAGTCTGTTAAATTGTTCCTGAATCAAAATAAACTAAGAAATAGGTGAAATAATGTTATATACATTATAAAATATAATAATTTTAAAACAATTTAAATGCAGATCAGAACTTTCAGAATAAAAGTTTTCCGAGATAAGCCAACATTTCTAATAAACGAACAAAACAAAAAAAAAGCAATAAGTTAATTGGAAAAAGTACTTAATTGTTCAGTGATAAATTACAAATGTGTGTTAATAAACTGAATATGAAATAAATGATCAAATAAAGTCAATCTGGAGTAAAGTTCGCAGAAAGCAGCCGCGGACTGTCGCAAAGTTGATGACATCAAACTTGTGCGACCGGGAGGAAAGTCAGGAACCAGCTTTACTAACTGGCAGGTAAATAAAACACCTGCTGGCTTTGCTTTGAGCAAACACAACACGCATTTAACAAGAAACATTAAACCTTCAATAACCGCGTGTTGCACGGATTAAAGCTCGTGTTTTTACTGCTTTTAGCAGGCTCGTTTATCAACGTTAGCCTAGCCAGTTAGCATGCTAATGCTAATGGAGCTAACCGCTAGCTGCCACTTGTTGCAGCGTGACAGTAAAGTTTGACACAACTCTGATTTTTAGCTCTTTTTACCGTGTTTGTGTTGCACCAGTTGAGTTTACAATAAAAACCCGGAAGTGTTTCTTCTGTTTTCACATTTCTAAAGCTAAATCTGACAGCAGCTGTTTGATTTAAATCTGACAGCAGCTGTTTGATTTAAATCTGACAGCAGCTGTTTGATTGGTGAGAAGTTTTCAGTCACCTTCAGTGACTCACCTGTTGTCCTCACAGGTTCCCAGTCTTCTCGCAGGCGATGGGGGACATGAAAACCCCAGATTTTGACGACCTGCTGGCAGCGTTTGACATCCCTGACATCGATGCGAAAGAGGCCATCCAGTCCCACCCAGAGGTGCCCCGGGACGAGCCGGGTCCAAACCCGCAGGAGGGTCCTGCAGCCTGTCAGAGCGAGCCTTCTGGGGTCAGTGTCATCGTGAAGAACACCGTTAGACCAGAGTCTTCTGAGCACGAAGACACACCTGTCGGGGATCAAACCGACAACACTTTGAGTGCCTCTCAGGTTCCTGTGAAGCTGCAGGACTTCAGCTCGGATCTTAGTCCGGATCTGGCAGCTGGTGCCCCCATGGAGCTGCAGATGAGCAACGGCTTTGAGGAGGGACAGTCCAGCACTCAGTCCTGGCAGAGTTCTCCTTTTAGGTCCACGACAAGGGATGATGATGATGATGATGATGATGATAAAGATGATGATAAAGATGATGATGATGATGGTGATGATGGTACCGCTTCTTCATCTCCTCCCTCAACAATTCCACACCTGTCCCCCCACCCTCCTCCACATGTCGACCCACCTGCTAACCCACTGCCCACCTTGACACCACAGAACCTGAAAGCTGACCTCAAACACCTCACAGACGACGAGGACTCGGATCCAGACCTGGGTAGTCCGCTGATGATCCACGAGAGTCCGGAACCTGAGACCTCCTCCCCTCCCAAGCTGAAGCGCCGAGCCAGGTTACACCCCGACCAGCCGGGGTCTCGTGAAGACGCGTCTCGTCTCATGTTTCCTCCTGAACTCTCATCGCCAAAAAGACTGAAAGTGCAGAACAAGGACGGACTTCCTGCTACACCCAGCTCCCCTGTCCCTGCTCCACAGGACCCCCAGGACCTCCTCCCACCTGTCCACACAGCTGTCCACACAGCTGTCCACACAGCTGTCCAGGATGAGAAATATCCTGAGCACGTGATCGATGAGAGAGACTCACCTGAGAGCCCCCCACCCAGTGAGACCGGCCTGGTGTTCAGAACCAGCAGCCCTGATGTGAGTCAGGAGAAACTAAACCCCACAGAGGAGCTGGTTGGAGACAAGTTCAGTCCAGAGACGGCAGGGGACACCAGAGGGACAGCAGGGGACACCAGAGAGACAGCAGGGGACACCAGAGAGACAACAGGAGACACCAGAGAGACAACAGGAGACACCAGAGAGACAACAGGGGACACAAGCGAGGCGAGCTGCAGTGCTGGTAGTGAGGAGACCCTCTCCTCTCCGGTAAGACCACTCACTGTTAAAATCAAAAAGCCCAGCGGGAGCATTAGAAGAAGTGTGACCGGCGCGACGCCTAAACGGAGCGGAAAGGCAAAGGAAGTGGACGGTGCGAAACCTTCTCCAGAACGCCACAACACCAAGTCCAAAAAGGAGCCGTCAGACGTGCCGGTGGCAGTGACTCAAGACTCCACCTCTGCAGGAAAAGACAAGTCCTCTACAGAGACCAGGTCCAAAGTGTCCCTGACAGCGGTGAGCATCACAAAAAGCACGGCGCTGCCCCGGACCGGTCCGGGTGTGGTCAGCCTGGCTCAGAAAGCTCTCAGCAGTGGGATGAGCTCTTTAACCCAGCTGCCGGCTCAAAGCGGAAACAGACCGGCTTCTATAGTGAACAGCACCGGGGCCATCATCTCCAAGAGTCAGACCAACCTGGTGGAAGCCTTCAACAAGATCCTCAACAACAAGAACCTGCTGCCCACCTACAAACCAGACCTGAGCTCCCCTCTGCCAGCCGAGTGGGGCCTGGCTCTGCCTTCACAGGTGAGCTGTCACCATACAAGTAAAGAGCCTGTCACATCAAAGTTTAATACGTTTATAGAAAGATAACATTGATAACATGTTGCAAAACAAGTTTCATGTCGCTGAGCTGAACAGTTGTCGAGAAACAGTGTGTAAAATAAGTATTGAACATGTCACCATTTTTCTCAGTAAATATATTACTAGAGGTGCTAATGACATGAAATTTTCACCAGATGTTGG